ATGAGTGTCTACAAACATACGATTACTTAATAATGTCCACAGATATCTTTTAGCTTTTCTTATTTTAATAAATAATATTTCTGCTGAAAATATTTAAAAAAAGTTTGTTTTAAATATTTTATGTTTTTCTAAAAGAATTTAGAATCATAATCAAAATTTTTTAATTATTTTTTTTATGAACATTGATTGAAAAATTAATATAATTTTTTTGTTAATTAGTTTTTTATATGCTTTATTAGATAGATTTAAGTTTAAAATGATTGAGACTAATTAATTGGAATTAACATATAATGATTATCATTAATCAGTTTTACGTATATTGTTGTAAATATTAATTCTTAACTAGTGGCTTAAAAATCAGTGAATTGTGATCAATTCACACAATTCACTAATTATAATACATTTTTTAAATCTTAGACTCTTACCTTTTGTAGATTGTATAAAATTTAAGTATAAAACTTTGCAATATCAATAACGAATTTTAATTGCATGACTGCGCATGTATTTAACCTCAGATTAATTATGGAATAGTTGCTGCTAAACATAAATTTGCAAATATAAAATAAAGCAGATTATTTCTATTATATATTATATATTATATACATTAGACGTCAACAATGTCTTATATTTTACATACATGTCCGGTTAGGACATGTTTTTTTTATTGAATTTAGTTTTATTATTTATAAATTAATTTTTTAAGGAAATATCTAACCGAAAGTAGGCTTTAATGACGCAAAAAAATACATTAATTTTAGGTCATTAGGTCATCAAATGGCGTGTCAAAATTAAAGTGAACAATTCTTTAATAATAATTATTTGATAAAAGCGGCATGATAATGTTTACTAAATCGCTTGAAAATCGATTAAGACGATTTGTTTCACATATTTTATTTGGCAGAAGTTTAAAATTATTCTGCACAACTTTACACAGCAGATAAACTTTAATTATACATATTTATAGCATTTCGTATTTAAGGCAAGCAGAATAAAATTTATTTCTGTTTAATGTCAAGGCAAGACAAAATTTTAGAAAAAAATCTTGTTTGAAAAAAAAACCTAATAATATGTATAAGTAATGTGTTAACACAAAACAATACTACGCATGTAGTAAGAAAATTGTCATTCAAATGTGCGTTGCTTGTTCATACTACTGTTACGTAATGCAAAACATTATTCTTCTTGTAGCTCTACGTGAACTTTGTTCTATATTTTGCATGCATTTACATCATCTATTTTATATGTAACTACTTTATATATTTATACATAACGTGGCATAAATAATTGCGATGAGATTTAATAATAACAAACAAATTGTACATTTTGTTTATTTTTTTTCTATTTACATATTATTATAAATATTTACACATTTCTATATCTTTATACCTGCTTTGAAATGATTATTGTGTAAGAATACATATTTTTTGAACTTTTATTTATACGAATTAGATTATCAATTTGAATTTCTTTTTTAGGCACAAAGTTCTTAAAAGATTTTACGGTAAACTATTTTACTTGAATAGTCCAAGGTGCGTCATTTTGTTTTATTTAATTCAAACAGTGATATGTGTGACATATAATTACGCATAAATTTTCTACCGATATTTACATACTATAACGCACTTTTTAAAATGTTTTATGAATATCAAAAATTAATTTGTGTTATAATATTTTTTTTTTACGACAGAATAAAATTTATGCCAATAATGATAGTAATAAAAAATTTACACTTTAATCCTTGCTATAATCTAGTCTAATTAAGTATATGGAACACAGTATACAAATGTATTAGAAAAAATTCTTATCATTTTTTATTTTCTCGGAATTGGACTAAGATCGTATTTAAAATCCATTATAATCCATGAGCTAGCAGCTATAAGCTTTTTACAAAACTACTCCATTAAGAGAAAATTTCAGATTGACTATGAGACAAAGATCTCATGACTGTGAAATGAAAGGCTTTAATTTAGCTAGCTTTAAATAACTTGTCTGGCTTATGCGTGAATCCGAAAATCTGATATACCTTTATTACTACCTTTATTACTTTTTTTAATTAACGACTTGATTGTGCAATGCACAATATGTCACGTATATGCAATTATTTTACTAGCATTAAGAATTTTTTTTAACTTTATAAAATTTTTCTAACTCTTATAAAACTATTATTAATTACCATTGATTAACATTGAGCTTATTATATTTCTAATTATGCAAAGTTATAGTAATGCTACTATGTGGTTACATCAAGAAATTTACAAAAATTTATCTAAATGTTTATAATGATATAATTGTACTTTTTGTCTTGTATTCCTGAGTTGTGCGAAGCAAATCTTAATCATTTTACGGTATATTAAATTTACATACATTAGAAAAAATCCTTAATTATTATTATTTGTTGCGCATTTTGCACTATTTAAATAATTGCATATTTATCGCGTATTTAAGTAGGTAATCATGTTATTAATCAAACAAAATGATCGTATTTAATGATATTTTTTCCATGTTCTCGGAATCGGATCATATGTATTTAAGATCGTTATAATCCATAAAATCATGCTGTTGTTTAATTTCCATAAAAATTATATCTATGACATTTGTGCTTAGCAGGGATTATTTGTGCCAAGAAATAAATATGATTTAACTTCTTATACTTTTACATACTTCATTTGCATTAAATATAAAAAAATAAAATATATAATGACCAAGCACATTTTTGTTGTGTTGAAAAGGGGAAATTATTAATATATGTTAAAATAACTCTTGACGTGCGCGTGAGAATTATAATAAAACATTACTTTGTATTTTAAGATTATTTTTATATAATAAAAATTTAATTATTATTTAATCTATTATATTTATTTATTTAATTAAATTATACTATTTATTAAAGTTTACGAGAAGATAATGGCAATAATTTTACATTTTGCATAAAATATTATTGCAATTATTATTGCAATATATGTATATTGTAAAACTGTTAAAAATTATTAATAGATATAAAAACATTTTTTTGTCTATTAAAATTATTAACAATGATTGAAATTAGTACGCACAACAATAATAATCAAATATAATGATATTATATAACAAATATGTATTTACGACGATTTATAAACATTTGAACAACACATTATAACATTTAATGAACAATTAGTAGAATAACATAGAGTGTTTCAAGTTCCGATCTTTGATCTTGACAATATATCGTTACATAATATCACAGTATTTACGTTTCTAAAGAGACTATCTGGTAATATTGTGCTAATTGTAAAAATGTACGGGATGTAAAATAAAATCTCTTGACGATGCCTGAACTTCAGGGAAACATGAGAGTGATCTTATTGCTTGCTCAATAACATGTTTCTTTGGATAGCTAAAGCTCCCGAATTGGAATTGCAATATTTCTAAAACTAGTTTGTGATAAATGAGCTCATAGCTGAACTTATTTTTTAAAAATTCAACTTACGTTGCATTTTAATATACATTACATTGCATTCCAATTTTTATCAATTTTAACTTTATTAGTATTAAATTTTTATTATTAATAATTTTATTTAAAAAATTTTAATTTAAATTAATTAGTTATTTTATTTAATTAAATACATTAATTTGGCAATTAATTACAATATTAGTGCATGTTTAGTAAGAAGGCTCTTCAAATACTCTTGCGATTGTATAAAATATAATACTTCTTAAATATTTACTGACAATTATTAGCTATTAATCATATTACTTTGTTGGCGTTGTTATAAAAATGCCTATTTAATAAACGTTAAAGTATTTACTGCATTTACTGCATGAACTACCGTTTTCATTATATACGCTAGCTTGAGATCTAAGTAAAACCGGATATTAGCTGTCATTGATCGCATTCCGCAGATATACTTAGCAGTTTCGTAATCTTTGTTAAATATTTCTATAAATTTTCCCGTTTTTAATTAAGAAAACTGGTAAACATGACGGTGTGATTCTACATGTTATTTGCGGATCACAGTGACAGATCATAAATCTGAAGTTGTATAATTTGCGAAATTAATTTAGTTAGTTTCTTTAATCCTCTTTTTTTTTAATTCTCTCTTTAATATTCACGGTTGCGATCAGATGTTATTAATTTCTGAACACACTGCCACAGAGTAAAAAACATATTACATAAATAGAGCGTAGACATTTTTATGTTTTTTATTCCAAAAGAAAAAAAATCATTAATTATTAGAATGTTTTTTATAGCGGAATACGGTTCTTAAATATTATGAATTACAAATTGCACGCATTACTGCGCTGTAAATATAAATGTTTACGTTTAGAAATTAGTCTAGAAGTATGCGATTAATTTGCGATTTATTACCAACCAGATGATTGCTGTATTTTGTTGTTATTTTTATTTAAGATTTGATAGAATGTGATCTGATTTCACGTACATGGTAAAACGTTACTTAGAGATATGTTAACAAAACAGTTATTATTTGATATTATTTACAAATATAATTTATAATTATAAAAAAATCATTGGCGAATTAAATTTGGATATAAAAATTGCAGTACAATATTATTGCAACATATTATTATATTACTTTATAAGTGTTATATATTTTTATTGAACAATATTAAAAGATACTCATACTAATAATATGTAGTATTAATATTTGTTCTAATAAGGAGAATATTGTTAAGTATAAAATATATTTTTATAAAATCAATATAAAGATACAAACTTTTATCGCATTAAATACAATTGTATAATATGTACAAGTTGTCAAAACTTAAAAAGAAAAAAAATATTTTTTAAATAAAATACATATATTTTTATTTTGTACATTTTTATACATAACAATAAATAACTACATTTTCTATACATACACTATTATAATCTACATTAATTTTTTTCTCAATGGATAAGATAGGAAAAGTTAAGTTGTTGTACCTAACGTCGATATATTTTGATCCTTTGTGTAGTTTCGTTACTTCAATTATTGGCGCCGCTAGTCACTTTTCGTTCTAACCTCGTTATTCGAGTCACTCAAAAGTCGTCAACAGTCACGCGAACGCATTGGTATAAGTGTATTGTGTTTGATCGTATCATTCAAAACTACTGAAATTACATATAAAGTAAAAACTCTATCAATAATACACTCACAATGGTGAAATTGACGCCGGAATTGATAGAGCAATCGATGCAATACATTAATCCTGTACGGGATCGCGAATTAGATCTCAGAGGTTTGGAAGAAATCACGTTAATATTTTCTGTTACCATTTTACACATTTATTTTTCATTTATTTTATTGTTCTTGCTTTGCTTGTATGTTGCAGGATATAAAATACCCACTATTGAGAATCTGGGAGCGACCTTGGTAAGTACACAGCTTTTTTTGTAAGAATAACCTTGTTAAAACCAATGTTGATATTGTGCCTGCGTGGTCTTTATGTTGGAAACTGAGTCGTATTCGAGAGAATAATGATATATATTTCGCAATAATTTGCCTCAAATGATTTTTATTTTGTATTGATATTGAGCGAACAAAATGGAATATTTATATTATAAGTTATATGAGTTTTATATACAATTATGTATATATGTATTTTTTACATTTATAAGATATCTTTTTTGCAATATATGCATAGAAGTAAATACTTATAAATATGAGCAGAAGCAGATTAGTTTTTGTAATTTTGATTATTTCGTGATGAAATAGGAAGCTACAAAATATAATTATATGGTTATATATTTTTTGTTACCTCTTGTACCTTTGTTACCTCTTTGTTACCTTTTGTATCTCTTTACATAGGATCAATTTGATACAATAGATTTTTCTGATAATGATATACGCAAGCTGGATGGATTTCCACTTTTGAAAAGAATCAAGACCTTGTTTTTCAATAATAATCGTATTGTCAGAATTGCTGAAGGTTTAGAGCAATGCATACCGAATTTAGAAACTCTGATGTTGACTGGCAACATGATACAAGAATTGGGTGATTTAGAGCCTCTCATACCACTAAAACATCTTAAAAACTTGTGTCTGCTTCAAAATCCAGTATCGGCTAAACAACAGTACAGACAGTACGTCGTATATAGATTTCCACAACTCAAACTGCTCGATTTTCGAAAGATCAAACAAAAAGAACGAGAAGCAGCAATAGAATACTTTAGAAGCAAGCGTGGCAAAGAGATGGCACGCGAAATAGCGAAGAAGGTGAAGGCACAGGCGGGTGCAGCTGACAGGCCTTACGTTACTCCTGAAGAGCGTAATAAAATTCGCGAAGCTATCACAAATGCATCTACCTTGGAAGAAGTACAGAGACTTACTAAGCTGTTACAAGCTGGTCATATACCGAGTGAAGAACGATTGCAAAATGGTGCGTAAGCTTTTACATGCTGCTTTTCACAGCATACGCATGATAAATGTCGATTTTATGTAATTTTTTGCACTATATTTTAGGAAGTGGAAGTATGGAACCAATGGAGGAAGATGATGATTGAATCAATTTATTTTCTGCATTTATAACTTTATCTGAAACAAACTTCCCATTGTAAGTATATTGTTAGACGAAGTACAACACGATACATGTATGCTGATAAGAAACTGTATACTACACAGATTCTGTTCCTCAAACAATGCAGATATTCTTTTTTTGTACAAATAAAAATAGCAGATATTAAGACAATAGCCTTGAAGCGATTCTTAAAACTATTCCTCATTATTACATATGAACGCAATTTTAATATACCAATATGTTTATTTCAGCGAAATTCGAATAAATAGTTTTTGCAAGAAGTTTGTCTTATCATTAAATTTCTCCTTGTATTCTATATAGGATATTTGATTAATTGAATGAATCAAAACATATAGATGTATACTTTGAGACAATTAAACAAATATATAATTATATAATTAATATAATTAAAAGATTATTGAAGTTTAAATATTTTTATAACGAGAAATCAAGTTTGAATTTGTTGAATTATACATCTAAAATTTTTGATTTATTAATAACAATTTATTACAAATAATTGTACATATTTAAGTCGATATAATTCGGTTTTACTGATTGTGAGTGTTATATCACGTTACATAAGTTGTAATCGACAGTAGATGTCAGTGCGACATCAGTGTGATAATACGACGGGGTACTTTGGTGTACTCTTACGATTACTTGGGTTTTATTTAATGAAAGATGGGTAATCAAATTGCTACCTACATAACAAATCCGGATATAATGCCTGTACCTAATGGGAAGCCTACATTTGATCCGACGATAGGATTTCCCGAGGGTCGAAAACTCAGAGGCAAGTATTCAACTTAATCTAACCTCTTTTCATATGTTTTTTGGCTATATTTGATTTATCTTGTTATTATTGCTCAAATGTGTTAATTTAAAATTCATATAGAATTCTCTTGAAATTAAGCTCTTTCACATTGCCATCGAATAATCTTGAATTTTTCTATCGTAAACCGAGGTGACATAATTATGACGTTACAATTCTATAAAATATTTAAATACATATAATATTCTAATTTCTTTCGCATTTGTTGCTATAATTAAATATATAAAAAATATGAAAATATAAATGATAATTTTACTATAAATCAGTGATTTAAGCGTGTCTCTACTTGCTATTCTTCAGTGATCTATATATGGAATCGAGCTAAATGTTTTAATGTCATTGCTTTTTATTTGTTTTATTAGTTGTAATTACATTCAGTTAATTTAATTAGTAATTGCTTTACCATGATTGATTTAAAATATAAGATAATGTTTTATTTTGTTCTGCTGTTAAGCAAAATTTGGAAAATTGAAACATGTTAGATTTTGAATATTAGCAGATGTTTATTTTAAGAATTACTTACTGATAGAATAATAATGTTTATAACTTAAACATTATGTGAGTTTATTCAGATTTTTGAGAATATCTGTTGTATCCAAACTTTGTTTAGTAACTAACTACGATAGTGTTGAATTTACAGAAATAAAGGTATCAGAAGAGGATATGATGGCTGCAAAAATCCCACGTGATCGCCGTGACTATTGTGCTCATAAATATCTAGAATTACATGAGTGCAAGAGACTTCATTATCCCTTTATGATAAAATGTGCGCATAAAGTGCACGAATACAATGCCTGTCATGTCGAAGAGTAAGTTATTGTTTTAAATAGCTGTATCATTTTATATATGAAAGGGATTATT